CAGGCAATTTTGTAAAGACGACTAATCAATTACATGGATAGTATGTAGTCTGATCTGAGAATCTGATATCTAGAATCAATTGCCAGTTTGCCATCGAATAGAATGTTCTGTATGACTTCACTGACCCAGAAGCGCAAACCGATTTGTCAACTTGTCTGGTCTAGATAGCAGCCATAAGTGGTGCATTCCCCGATGAAGGGATCCGTGGTGGGGGGCCCCTCCCAGTCTCGGGCGGTCTTCTTGATAATACAGCACCAAGCCAGCAACTCAGCAGTTATTCCGTTCCTCACCAATCGATGGGATTCGGTATCCTTCTGCTTCGGATCACCTTATGGATGTTTCCCGCGGCCCGTTGGCCCATCATTTGCTGGCTTTTGTCAGGGACTGCTCCAACCGCGCGGTCTCCGACAGGAACCGTCCACGGAGCAAAACGTGTATATATTGACCGCCATGGATCCCTCACCCACCTCATCCTCTTTTCTCTCTTAGTTCCATTATTCACCCCACTACTCTAGCCCACCACTTCTTCTTCAGCTATTTCACATAGCCCTTTCTTCCGAACACTACTTCCCTTCTATACATCCTCAAATCCAATCCATCAACATGTCTGGACTCAAGGCCGGTGACAGCTTCCCCGCTGACGTTGTCTTCTCGTAAGTATTCTCTGCCTCATTTACCCTTTCTCTAGAACTCGCTCGATCGCCGAAGTATGTTCAATCCATCAGGTCTAACATTGACTCCCATTCAGTTACATCCCCTGGTCGGAGGACAAGGGTGAGATCACTGCTTGCGGTATCCCCATCAACTACTACGCTTCCAAGGAGTGGGCCGACAAGAAGGTCATCCTCTTCGCTCTTCCCGGTGCCTTCACCCCCGTCTGCTCCGCTCGCCACGTTCCTGAGTACATCGAGAGACTCCCCGAGATCCGTGCCAAGGGTGTTGACGTTGTTGCCGTCCTCGCCTACAACGATGCCTATGTCATGAGCGCCTGGGGCAAGGCCAACCAGGTCACTGGTGACGACATCGTATGTTCACCTTTGAAGAAGAAAAAGTGCGATTTTCACTACATTGAATTTGTTGCTAATGCTCTGGCCTTATAGCTCTTCCTTTCCGACCCTGAGGCTCGCTTCTCCAAGAGCATCGGCTGGGCCGATGAGGAGGGCCGCACCAAGCGTTACGCCATTGTCATTGACCACGGCAAGGTCACCTACGCCGCTCTCGAACCCGCTAAGAACCACCTTGAGGTGAGTAGTCTTGCATCCATTCCGTCGCTGCTAGAGACTTGAGCACAAGCTGACACAATGCCACAGTTCTCGAGCGCCGAGAACGTCATCAAGCACCTGTAAACGCGTGAATTAGATATGATAGATGCGGGCATGGGTTTGATACAAAAGGCGTTGACATTTTCGATGGTGGGCTAATATCAGCCTGCTATGGGCAAGATTCGTGATAGATCTTTAGAGATGCCACTTAGACAGAAATACAACGCTGTAATGAAGCTATGAAGGTTTTCTTCCTCCGCCCTCACCTTACCAGCCGTATGATGTTACATAGAAAGTGTGTCAAGGTACAAGCGAACTTCAGCTGTAGTGCAATTAAACATAGTACCCCGGCGCTCCGAGGATCTACATGAATCAAAGCGTCGCTGGGTTTCAATTTCCCAAGGCTGTTATTGGTGCTTGGATTGTGCCTACTGCGTTGTTTCTCGGCCGGTAGGGATGACGCGCTAAAGCCCCGAAAATTAAGCTCCAACACTCACTTTTTGTACTTTCGTTCCAGACCGAGCTGCAGCTGAGCTACCTTACCAACAAAAATACTTATACATCTCTCCGGCATCCAACCTACCCGATCCTTCCACCCATCGGCCATCATGGCCTCTAACCAGCCCTCAAAGCGCAAGTCCGCGTTCCCGGGACCACAGAGTGGCACAGCAACGTCCCGCAAACGCGCCAAAACGTTCGATGCTCGGTCCCTCGCGGTTCAGTCGGCCGACGCCGCGCTCTCTGCATCCGGAGAGTTGAATGTCGCCGCGTATGTTGAAGCTCGAGAGTTTGAGATCCGTGCTCTCGAGTCTGGGATGCAACGGTCGAAGAGTGCCCTAACGAGCCGTGCGTTTCAGAAAGTACCCCGCGCGTTGAGAAGACGGACGGCCAGCCACAATGTGAAGAGGGTTCCGCGGAGGCTGAGGGCGAGGGCGAAGAGAGAGGTATGTTGTGGAAGCGCTTGTCTATTGTCCTCATAGGGCGATTTCGAGGTCAACTTGAATTCAGAAAAGCTTTGCTCACTACCCGGCCATGTAGATGATCGAGGATAATACCCCCACCGTGACAGCCCGACGACGAAGACCAACTGAAATCCTGCGCATTCGCCTTGAAACCGCTAGACGACTGCAGAATCTCAATTCAAAGACCAAAGCCAAGCGTGCGGCAGCGAAAGCGAAGCGGGACAAAGAAACGCAAAAGGTTCTGGAAGAGTCAGGCAGCCACGCCTATAACATCGCCCCGCGAGTTCCGAAGATCAAGAAAAACAAGCTCTCACGGCCACCCCCGCCCGAAGCAAAGTACAAGAAACGACAGCGTTGCAAGACATGGCTTCCGACGCATATGTTCCATGCGAAACGCGCCCACATGACCACTTCAAAGGATCCGTTGTGGCGGTTCGCGCTGCCTCTGTCACCGACCGAGAAGAGCTACAGACCTTCTCACCGGGCTAAGGGTGCCAGGGGTGCGGTGGCTTGGGATATGAGCTACGTGTCTACCATTCAGCTAGAGGGCACCGAGGAGGCTATGGAGGCAGTGCTGAGGGGGATTGGAATTGATGGACAGGATGCTTGGGGTCCGAAGGGTAGAAAGTGGAGGGCTGGGATAAGAAGCTTACATGCTTGGGCGTTTGAGCGTGAAGGCACACATAGGCCGATCGCACCGATAACGCTGATCCGATGTGCAGATGGAAAAGCGGAAGATGTGGAAATGGTCGATGCTGATGGGCCGAAGAAAAAGAGCCAGAAGGACAGAAAGAAGCTATTCATCAGGGTTCACCCGTCTGCTTTTCTGCAATTGTGGAACGAGCTTCTTGAGATTTCGAAGAGGCAAAATCCGCCAGTGATGGTAGAAGATTTGCGCTTCGAGATTGGAAGCGTCGAAATTACCGGTCCGGGTTCTACAGAAGCTCTACTCTCAGCGCTGAAGCCCTTGACGCCGGATGGTACTGAACCGCCAGCAGGCAGTCCAGAGGCCACCTGGACTTCGTTGCTTGGGGTCTCAAACCCTTCGTCATTGCCGCAAAATGCTCTCCTCGGTTTTTCCGTCTCAGATCCTCGTCTTCACTTTCCTCCGAAGACCCTCAAACCTCCAGCTTCAGATCTCGAAATGCAGAATCTGGCCATCTTACTATCGACGTGGTCACCCGACACCACCCAAACGTCACCTGCCCTGTTCGACCGCCGTGCACGACTAGCCGCTGCTCGTCAACTTCCGAGCCAGAAAGCTATCAATCGTCGACGGACCTTAGCCGGACCAGGAGTTTACCCCCCTGCCGAAGCTTCTGACCCCAGGATTCCGGTGATGATCCTCGCTTCAAGATCAACCAGTCAATCAAAGAACAACAACGCTCCCGGGACATGGACCGTTCTATTGCCATGGAAATGCGTCCTTCCTCTCTGGTATTCGCTCATGTATTACCCGCTCTCAAGCGGCGGAAACGTCAGATTCGGTGGTCTCAAAGAACAACGGCAACTCGCGTTCGAAGCCGGAGAGCCCTGGTTCCCCGGCGACTTTCCCGGAGCACGTGCTGGCTGGGGATGGCACGTCCGTGAACGGGAGAAGGCCAAGCAGGAGTGGGAAAGACGACCGAAGGGCCGGAGACTCGAATTTGATAGCCTAGATCTGGGGAATGGGCAAAAAGGCGAGATCGGTCATGGCTGGGCGTGTGACTGGGAGAGACTGGTTCAGGGTCCGCCAAAGGATTCATCGCCTGATTCTAATGAAGTCAAGGAGAAAGAACAGGGCCAAGACTCTGATCAACAAGATATGCCAATGAGTGATACCGAACAAGAAGCCATCGATGGGCACGCTCCCCCGTTCAACATACACCACCTGCCACTTGCCAAGGCAGAAGCTGCACTTAACAACAGGTCAGACACCACTGATCAAGCCGCTCTTGCAGCCGTCAAAATATCCCTGTTGCACCGCGGTACGCCCACCTCCGCGGCCCGCATATACCGCCTCCCTACCACCAATCCAGAGCTACGACAGAAATGGCTCCGCCTGGCAGCTGACGAGCGAAAGAACCGCAAAGCCACTCAGTCTCAGGACCTCCAACAGGAAAATCTGCAACATTCTGCTGAGCCTCTAGCTGGCCAAGGGGATCCCCGGCAACGTCTCGCGGCCTCGCTTATCACTCCAACAGCAGATACAGACTCCCGACAGGAACACCCTCCCGTCCCCACGGAAGAAGACCTGATCGGATTCGTCACAACGGGGAACTATAACCTGTCCGAAGGAAAAGGGACGGGAATTGGCTCGATCCTGGTATCTAAAGTTATTGCGTCTGGCAAGGGCAAAGCGCGGGAGAGGGAAATGTGTATTATCCGCAGTGCCGGCGAGCGAGTGGGCAGACTGGGTTACTGGGAGCTTATTTGAGCACTAAGTATGTCTGCATGTCTGTAGTTGGTATGGTTGGGATGTGACTGTGTTTTGATGATACCCAAAGTAGAATAGACCTTTGACATGAAGCGTGGGAGCCAGAGTCTGCTTTTTATTCAATAGCTGCCGATTCCTTCGTATGATGTTGCGGTCTAAATTTATCAAGAAGATAGATGGACGAAACCCGCTAGACCAAAGCTGAACTCGTTTCAATCAACCAAACAAAAGGTAGATAGCTATACATATACATGCGAGCACATGACGCGAGAGGACCGGATAGATCTATTTGTTAAAACAACCGAGGAAATAGCATCAGCATGGCGGCGCATACCGCTCTAACTCTGGCTCTGACCACCTTCAACCGACAACACGATCCACAAACGCCTCCTCCAGCCTGGCGACCTCCCTCTTGAATCCCTCAACCTCCTTCCAACAATCCAACGGCCGTCTATCGTTCAACCGCAAACAAGTCACAACCTCGTTCCTCGCCCGCTCAACACCCTCATCCACCTCGACGAGCTTCCGCCGTCCCTCAAGCTTAGCCCGCAGCTGCTCTATCTCCGCATTCACCGACTCCCGGCTGAGATCACGGTTGACGGGCTGGTCGGTGACGGCAGCAGGTGCGGGGGTAGACTCGTACTCGCGGCCCGCGAAGGGGATGCGCGGCGCGTCGAGGTTCAGGGAGCCGGCGGGGTAGCTGATGTTTGGTGTTGATGAGGAGGAGGAGGCCGGGGCGCTGTCTTTGACTTCTGCCAGGCGCTTTTCGATTTCGGCGAGGGTTTGCTGCTCGCGTTCGCGGAGGCGTTCGAGTTCCTGGGCTACGCGGGCTTGGATCTGCAGTTCCAGGCTTTTGGCGCGGGAGGAGTCGGTCTGTTTTTTGGTCAGTTTGTTAGAGTTGTGGTTCGGATAGGGAATTGGAGGCTGGGTTGAGAAGCGTGTTGGGCTGGTCTCTTGGGCTCGGAGACGCACCTCGGTGTTGGTCTGGAGGGCCTCGACGAGGTTAGACGAGAATTGGACGGGGACGTTGCTGTTGGATTGAGAAATCAGCGAATTGGTCCTGATATTGGGATGAATGGATCGGCCGGAGGGCTCTCGGGCTTTCTGCTGCTTTTTTTTGCCTTGTTGCTGTGGACTTGTCCGCTCCGCGACGGGCCTTTCGAGTATCGAATCAATGGTACCATCAGGGCGAGACCAACGGCAATACAGCCCGACAGTGAAGCAATTGAGACCGGGAACGCATGTAGAGCATACCTTGTGAAAACATGTTTCGAACCAGCCGAACCTTCGGGCTTAGAGCTGCCGGCGCCCATGATGTCTGCGTTTTGTGATTTTCTCCCTCTTCGTCAACTTGTTGTAATGTCAATGAGTGCAGCAGGGGTACGGAAGGCACGTAAACCCCGAAAGGAATGGAGATGGAAGTCGCAAAGTTGTTTTAAAGATCTGGATATCACTTCTGGAACAGCCGACTCCCGCCGGCTTGAAGTCAATTCGAGCAGTTGATGGTTCCGCAGGTAGTGTCACGTGAGACACTTAGTCATGATGGGTACAGCTTCAGCATGGATGATGCACCATTGCTGACTATTTTCGTCTTGAAGGATCGTGAATTGTGTTTGGTTTCTGGATAGGGTAATGATATTCATCGACAATAGCGATGCTACATGGTATGTCGGAGCCAATTGAAGGATATTGCGACTCTGTAAGGTCCCGACTTAGGCAGGCGACGACCTAGTCGAGATCAACCATTCTCAGCAAAGAATGAAGAAGAAACCGACACAAGTCACCAAAGTGGACTAAGGATGTTGTTGCGTTGATCGACCCGGGAGATTTGGTCTCCTCATTGTCCTTGCCCATACAGTCTGAGAATGTTTAGCCATTGCCCATCATTTCTGTATGGCATGTCCTTGATCGACACCAAATAAAATTCAACCAAGTCCCTAGTATCAAACTGTGCTATGGCCTATCTATCTCCGTAATATAGAACTCAATTCCGCTTGTTGATCAAATTAAAGCGGGCAAACAAGGTTCGGACATTGGTCGGACATGGGTGGAAATGCTGTAGTATTGCAGACTATCTGGTGGATAGGTACCTGACTCTGTATGAATGCCTAACGAGTTGATTCAGTTCATGGATGAGATACTCAGTTAGTACATCTACAGCCTACAGTCAAGATGAAAGAGTACGTGATGACAAGTTACCCCGCGGGCACGAGGTCAACTGGTCAACTGTAGAGATTCATGAGGGGTCTCCAGCTCTCCGCGTCCACTCCATATTCGAAAGGAAAGAATCGTCGATATGCAAGCTAGTATGACGGACTGCAGCGAATAATAATAATGAGCAAGGATCAGGAACTCTTCTCCCACCTTATGGATAGTCAGGTACCATGCATTTCGGTTTTCTTCCTCCAGGTTCTCCAGTTGCGGTCCTAACCATTGTTTCTCACCGGTAAGAGTAGCGATTCCCCCCACAAGTGTTTCATGGCGTCAGAGAAATTGAAGCACGCTACAGAAAGACCAGGAGATTTGGAGGGAAGAGTATTCTGGTGAGATATTGTTTCTGTTCTCTTATGATTGACTCTGGCGAAGTGTTGAGGCTTGAAAGTCGTCGAGAACTAGACAATTTAGCAGAGACTCAAAAGAAAGATCATTGGATCAGCAACCAGATCCTCCAGCCATGTGTATCATATCATCATGGACGATTTGTCTCTATCTTAGTTAGCTCTTATTTAGTTCCTGTCAATCTTACCTTAAAACCATTAACCAGGTCCCTAAGAGAACACGATGACGACGTGGCCGGCAAGCCATTGACGGAGGGTCAGAGCAAGATACTGCCAGACGGCCAGTGTCTTCATAGATACCAAGACAGTAATATTATCGTATCCTCTGCTTCGGTTGGTCGTCTTCTGTAGTAGTGGATAGCAAGAATAATAATTGATCCCGACTAACCAAGTATGCCGGCGAACCCGGTGTTCCCGTTTGTGATTATCGAAATTGCTGGGGATCACTGACCTCATCGACCCCTCCTCCGGTCTCTTGTCTCCCCTCCACCTTGGCACCTGTCAAAATTATTATTATTATTACCTGTTACCCTCGTCGTCTTTCTTGGATCTCATATTATTATCGTTATTGTTCCTACTCCCCCTTCCTCTCCGTCTCCGTCCTCCATAGTTCCATCATTTCGCTCCATCTATTCTTACTTTCTCTCCAAATCCTTTCTTCCCCTTCTTCCTCCTTCCCTGACCTCGAGTCGCCCTCTTTGTCTTAGAGCCCTTCCCAATCTGCATACACAATGTCGTCGCCTCTAGTGATCGAAGCTACGCGCATTGCGCGCCAGTTTGACTATTCCGCCGAGCAGATTCAGCATGGTGTCAAAGAGTATACCAGAGAGATGAGCGAGGGGTTGACCAAGGAGCACACGACACTCAGCCAAATTCCTACCTTTGTCACTGCTGTACCGAACGGTACTGAGAAGGTACTTGCTTCTCTCGTTAGAACCACCTGAAAAACCCGGCAGGTGACTGACTAGAAAATGTTTGACAGGGCTTGTACCTTGCTGTTGATCTTGGAGGCACCAACTTCCGGGTGTGCTCGATCGATCTTCACGGAGATACCACGTTCAACCTCACACAGTCGAAGATCATGATCCCTCGCGAACTGATGGCTTCTGGTACTTCCAAGGATCTTTTCCTTTTTCTAGCTCGCCAGATCGAGGCGTTCCTGCGAATCCATCATAACGAACACTTCGAGGCTCACCTGAGACGCCGTCGCGAACCAGACAACGAAGAGGATCTCTTCGACCTGGGTTTCACCTTCAGTTTTCCTGTGCGCCAATTGGGGATCAACAAAGGTACCCTCATTCGCTGGACGAAGGGCTTCAACATCCCCGACGCCGTCGGTCATGATGTCTGCGCACTCCTGCAAAACGCCATTGATGAGCTGGACCTTCCCGTTCGCGTGGCCGCTCTTGTCAACGATACCGTAGGAACCCTGATGGCTCGTTCCTACACCTCTCCCGGTGAGACTGGAACTTTCATTGGCGCCATCTTTGGCACTGGCACCAATGGTGCCTATGTCGAGAAGCTCGACCGGATCACCAAGCTGCGGACGATTGAACATTCGGATTACGAGAAATCCACGGGAGAGATGATCATCAACGCCGAGTGGGGCAGCTTTGATAACCACCTCAGTGTCTTGCCCAACACCAAGTGGGACAAGGAGTTGGATGAAGACAGCAACAACCCGGGCATCCAAATGTTTGAAAAACGTGTCTCGGGTATGTTCCTGGGTGAGATCCTGCGCCGTGCTCTCCTTGATCTGCACAAGGACGAGGCCTTTGGTCTGTTCAAGCCCAACCAATCATCGAATGTTGTCACTCCGGAGAACTCTCCCCTGTACAGGCAGTGGGGCATCGACACCAGCTTCCTCAGCTTGGTGGAGGCCGACAAGACCGATGTAATGGAAGAAGTCAAGGCAGCTCTGAAGGATCACCTGAAGATCGAGAGCCCTAGCAACGCCGACTGCCAGGCCGTCAAACTCCTGGTGCATGCGATTGGCAAGCGTGCTGCCCGCCTCAGTGCTGTGCCGCTTGCTGCTATCCTCATCTCCACCGGTAAATTGGAGACAGATGACATTGTCGACATTGGTGTGGACGGAAGTCTGGTTGAGTTCTACCCCAATTTCGAGGGTCACATTCGGGCTGCTCTGCGGGAGGTCCCTGAAGTTGGTGCCGCTGGTGAGAAGAAGGTGCGCATTGGCATCTCCAAGGACGGCAGTGGAGTCGGTGCTGCCCTGATCGCTCTTGTCGCTAGCAGGCAGGAATCTGGGTCTGGGTCGAAATAGAAGCGGGGAGGGGAAAAAGAAAAAAAATAAGGAATAGAATTCTAATGCCGAAACGAAGTATTGTCTATTCTGCGTTCTGCCGACGGTCTTTGCAATCTTTCCTCTTTGACTGAAACGAAGCACCTGCTTGCAATTTTGGTCAAGCCCACTTCACATCATCTGTGACTGGTTGGGCCTGCTTGGTCTAAGATGACAGGAGCGCCCGCTTTCCAAGATCAAACCCGCAGTTCGCATTCGGTAGGGGAATCGAGCGGTCGAACTCTCATATGCATGGACTTCGTCATCCGTGCATTTATCTGGTGTTGGGAGGCTAGGCTTAGGAGACGGGAGGTGTATCAATATCATCATTTAGCGGCGTTGTACTACTTATTATGGGATATATCAAGTGTTATAAATGAATATCATTCGTCTGCCATGCTCGTCTGACAACGCCTTCATCAGGGAAGAGTAATCTGTGGAAGAGAACAGAAAGATCTCACTGTTTCTAAAGCGCTTCTAGCATCGCCAGATCCTTCAGCTACTTTCCATCCGTTGTTACACGACTGCTCTGCGCATTAAAATAGACATGAGCATTGGATGCAACCATAATCATATGATGGCAGATCGATACTTCTCTCTCTGCAATACCACCCCACCTTCTTTCACGCACACTGCAATGCATATTGCATTCTGAACGGAGTACGCACTTATTCCATCCAGATTTTCATTCCCATCGAGTCGCACGTGAGCCTTGGCTGAATTTGCCCTAAACGTCTATCACTGTGTATCTAATAAGCTCCCCCAAAGATCCAGAGAAAGCAAAGCAAGCACAAAATTGTTCGTGGTATTAATCAGTAGAGTGGACAGGATTTGAGCCTTCTGATATCCTTGTCTGGTGGCGCTGGACCATGCACTGCTACGTCCTATGTTTTAAGCCACAAGCAAGGGGGCAGCGAACTAGGGCTCGGAGGGGTCGATCTCCAGGGATGATCGCGGAAGTGGGCACTCTTGCTAAGGTTATCGTCTTTGGAGTAAAATAGATAAAAGACAATCACGGAGGGATGATGATATGGATATGGAGATGAATATGTTTCATTCTTGCTGATGTACTTGCGAGATGTGATTATGTCTGATTGGGGCTGAATGTTCTGTAACCATGCAAATGTGGTTGGGGTGCTCGAGGTTGAGTCAGGTTGATGGCCGTGGATGATCAGCAATGGAAAAAGCAAAGAAAAGAGTATGTGGTTCGGTTCGTAGGAGGAGTTTCGTCTGTACTTTGGATCGACCAGGGTGTATCTAGACTTAAACTGTACGGTAACTCTGGATTAGGTTGATCTGAATATGGTACCTGTTAGACCTACATTGATGAAGATCCCTAGGTACTTACTTGAGATGATCTGACCAGGCAGTTATAGAGTTCCGACTCAGAAAAACCACTTCACACGGTAGATAGAATAGTAGATGAGAGTAAGTAAGGTAGCGGATATTGACGCGTTGACGCGAGGCTCATGGCAACCATCCTTGAGAGTCGGAGCCACTTTCGGAATGCTTCATTGTTTACTTTGACCGGGTAGATCAACATTCATACAGTCCTCGGACAAGGAAAGATTGGTGATCCGAGACTTTCACAAGTCTTGGAACATGGGGCAGAAATGCATTACTTAATAAGTGTAAGGATATTCCTCGCCCTTTTGGGAAAATGCATACTTTGGATACATCTCCTGCTCGGATGCCTCATAGCAACTCAGCACATCCCTCCTCCTTGATCTGCAGAGCCATCTTTGTCTATTCACTTAGTATTTACGTACTATACCGGATGAAAAGGAGATTAAATCCCGGTATGTACGTAAGACCTATGTCCACTACTTGAATGTAGGTACCTGGATGTACTATCTATCCGTTGCACAGAGAAAGACTGGCCAGCCAGTGAATGGCAGGTTGTACAAACAGTCCCCGTTTGGTCATTGCTCCCTCTCCTGCTTTTCATCATTGTCATCATTCAGCAGTACTTCACTTCTGCGGCTGAGAGTTATTTTGTCTCCTTTTTTTAACCCACGTCGTCAGTTACTGTCTGATACTTTTCCGAGCAGTCAAAACGCCACCACCTGCTCCCTGGTTTGAAGTCGATCAGTGTGAATTCAAACCTCGCCTACTATCGACCTTGTTTCCTTCATTAGGCTTGGTGTTTTGATCTAGGATCAGTAAAAATTCTGTTCTTCTTCTTCTTCAAGTCATATCCAGTCGTTCTACCTTGCTGTTGGCCTTGATATCCAGGATCTCCAACGCATACCTACCCTCTCGTCATGGATAACACAGATAGCAGCCGTCCGCTGCAGGACCCTGGCTCGAATAACTCACAGACCAAGCTCACTTCCGAGGTAAAGGCATCAGGAAGACGACAATCATCTGATAAGGAAAGCACTCTAGTCGAGTCCTCCTCACGGCTTGAAGATCCCGAGTCGCCTGTTCCCGAGAGACGCAATGACGGCCAAGCAATGGATATGGAATACAGCGAGGAGCATGTGGATGAAAAACAAGAGCCAGAATATCTGGAATCATGGAGGCTGGCCTTGGTCTTGGCCGGTGTCAGTCTTGTGGTTTTCTGCATGTCTTTGGTATGTACTCGTCTGGCGGAGCCACCTTACTCTCCAAAGGGAGGAGAATAAGCTAACTGTCCTTCAATCGGGTTCACTAGGACAATACTATCCTGGCGACGGCGATTCCCAAGATCACAGATCAGTTCAACTCTTTGGGTGACGTCGGTTGGTATGGAAGTTCCTACTTGCTGACCTCTTGCACCCTGGTCCTTCCATACGGCAAGTTCTACACATTCTACTCTACCAAATGGGTCTATCTCAGTGCAATAGCCGTCTTCGAGATTGGATCTTTGATATGCGGTGTCGCTCCTAATTCTGTCGCGTTGATCATTGGCCGTGCGGTAGCCGGTTTGGGCGCTGCTGGACTATTTACCGGGTCGATCCTGATTATCGCCCAGTCCGTGCCACTGCAGAGGCGACCAATCTACACCGGTTTGTTGGGTGGTATGTATGGCATTTCCAGTGTAGCTGGGCCTCTGATGGGCGGTGCCTTTACAGACCATGTCAGCTGGAGATGGTGTTTCTATATCAACTTACCTATCGGGGCGTTGACTTGGCTATTCATCCTTTTGTTTTTCAAGGCGCCAAAATCATACAAGGATAACTCGGGTCTCAAGGATCAGCTGTCGCAGCTTGATCTGCCAGGTCTTTTCTTCTTCTTCCCCGCCATCATCTCCGTGCTACTGGCTCTGCAATGGGGAGGCACCAAGTACAACTGGGGCAATGCGCGCATCATCGCTCTGTTCATCGTTTTCGGAGTTCTGATTACGATTTTCATCGGTCTCGAGCTATGGGCGCAGGACAAGGCTACGGTGCCTCCTCGACTGATCAAGAACCGTAACGTCTGGGGCTCTGCATTTTATTGCTTCTGTCTATCGGCTGCGTTCATGCTGTTTGTTTACTATGTAAGTGTGCATATTGGAACACTGTGGGCCGTGGATCTAGATTGGCTGACTTTTGGTTCTGCAGCTTCCGATTTGGTTTCAAGCCATCAAAGATGTATCGGCAACCAAATCTGGTATCATGAATCTGCCAATGCTGCTTGGCACAGTTATTATGTCCCTCCTGTCTGGTGTCATGGTTTCTGCGCTTGGCTACTACACACCCTTCATGCTGATCTCCTCTGTGATAATGACGATCGGGGCCGGTCTGCTGTCGACATTGAAGGTCGACTCCGGCCACGCTGTTTGGATAGGGTACCAGGCCCTGGCTGGCATTGGGGTTGGCCTGGGACTGCAGCAACCAATGATTGTGGTGCAGACTGCGGTTCGAGAGGCCGATGTCCCCAGTGCGACTTCCATTGTGATGTTCATGCAAACCCTCGGAGGCGCGCTGTTCGTGTCAGTCGGGCAGAACGTATTCCAGAACCAATTGTACAAGAATCTGGCCATCGAGGCACCTAGTGTCAATGCTGCCCAAGTCGCAGGTACTGGTGCAACAATGCTGCGGCACGTTGTTTCTGAGGATGCGCTACCAGCTGTCCTCGTTGCCTACAGTCACGCCATCACCGAGTCGTTCTATGTTGCTGTTGCCATGGCAGCGGTTTCGATATTCGGAGCGATTCCGGTGCAGTGGCTCTCCGTGAAGGGGAAGAAGATCGAGACACTCGCAGCTTAGACGTTTTGGAGACTGACGGCATGGTTACGGCTGGGTGTGGTTGCGCAAATATGGATTGCTATTTGGCTTGGAGTCATGGACTCGCATTGCTTTATTGCTGAAATGGATCAGGCGTTAACATGGGACTTGCTTGCAGGACGGAATCTGGGTCTATTGCTGTCAATTCGGGTTGCGGGCTTCTACATGTCCTGGCACTTCATTGATCTTCCATGGCGCAGTTTCATGTCTTTTTAAGATGACAAATTTCTAATGTGTGAATATGACCTAGCTAATACACGAACTAAAAAGAAAAGATCCCTATCTTCTATTATGAATCTATACCAGTAAGCCTAAACAGCAGCATACAGGCTCAAATAGATCCCCCAGACAACACCACAGGCACTCCCAAACACCACGCGCCTCTCAACCGGAACAACCGTATACAACAACGTCGACACAACAGGCCGATACTTCAGCCGCGCAATCATGATCGGCTCAAAGTCCTAGTACCCTCATCAACATCACCCCTCACACAAGAAACCAACCCAACACGGAAACAGACGTACCTCACGCACCAACTCCCCGATCCTCCTCCACCCAACCCCCTTCAGCACATTAATCAAAACAATGAATAAGAGAATATTCATCACCGACCCAACCGTCTGATCGAGGAAGAACTTCATCGCGAAATTACGCGGCCCGGAGCGCCAGCGCCATCGCGCTGCCCCGTGCTTCTCCTCCTTCTCCTTGACGGGGAGCAGATCCCCCGGGTCGACCGTGACGACCACAGCGCCGGCCTCGGCGCCAGTGGAGGCGGCGCTTGGGGCCAGTCTCCTCCCAGGGAACCCGGGCCATCTCGCCTCCAGGTACTTCTGCCAGGAGAAGTTGATGGGGACGATGATGATGGCGTAGGTGATGAATTGGAGGAGGGCGAGGGTGTTGAGGGTGAATGGGCCCTGGAGATATTTTTTTTTTTTTTTTAATTCAGGGTGGTCTGTAAAGGGGCAGTCAAGGGGAGGGGCTACGTACGTCCTTTTTGTGCTGGTCGATTATTTGGGCGAGGATGTTGGAGATGGCGTTCAGGATGGTGGATTGGATTAGGGTGGTTGTTAGGGGGGATGGCATTATGGGTATGGGGGTGCGGTGGTGCGGGTTTGGAGGGGCGTGGGCATCGCTGGTGATGTTCTCGAGCTCAAGACATGAGGTTATGGGTTGGTTTCGTATTGGTAGGTAGATGATTAGCGACTGACTGATGACAAGACAGACAAGTGATGCTGTTGCATGTGGTTTATGCTTGAGTTACATTGCACAAGCGCCGGCCCTAGCCACGTGCGGCGACCGTGTCTTTTCGTTGTCTGTACTACAGTGTGCCTTTGTAAGTTCTGATCGTCAGAGCTACTAGTATCTAGTGCTAGTGATATTCCTACAATGATCAAATGCTGTTTGAAGGATGATTGTCATAGCTCATTGCAACTTTTTACAGTCAACATCCAAGTATCACGTTTAGACCTCCCTCTTCCGGACAATGACATTCGGTCCGTATTTGGAGCTAGTGAAATGATCCACCAGGGCCAGCTGTCCCTTCTCATCTTCGCCTTTGTGATCTGCCAGCTCAAAATCAAACAGGAACATCAACCGGGCAATGGTCAGTCGCATCTCCATGAACGCCATGCTCTTCCCGATACACCCCCGCGGCCCGATGCTAAAGGGGCAGAATGCCCTGCGCGCCAACTCGACGGCCTCCTTGCTGGTCGTCCATGACTCGTTGCCGGCCTGGCATGTCGCGCCCTCGATCCATCTCTCGGGAACATAGACCTCGGGTTCGCGGTAGTACTCGGATTGACGGTGGATCGAGTATGTCGGGGTCCCGCAGTCCGTACCCTCCGGAAGAAAGACTCCGTCGATCATGGCACCGCCCTCCATGACTTCGCGCGGGGGTGCGCCGGGGACAGCAGGCGCCAGACGCATAGCCTCGTCGATGCACGCCTTCAGGTAGACGAGCTCGTTGAGCTTGGGACCGGTGACGATCTCCTCGACCGAGGAGAAGTTCTCGCGAATCTCCTTCTTGAGTAGCTCCATGGCGCGGGGACTGCGGACCAGGTAGAAGATCGTCGCGGACATCGTGGTGGATGTGGTGTCGCTGCCGGCGATCATCAGGACGTTTGCCTCGCCCCAGAGCTCGGGCGTCGTCAGACCCTTTCCGGTTTCGGGATCCTTGGCGTTGAGCAGGTAGTAGAAGAAGTCCTTTTTGGCGTCATGACCCGCCTGCGTACGTTCCTTGGCCCGCTCGTTGGCTTCGACTCGGGAGTTCATGATGAAGTTCCATCGGTCGTTGGTCAACTTGTGGATGAAGATCTGGTCCAGGTGCCAGGTGTCCAGAGGCATCCACAATCCGCACTTGACTTGCGTCAGTCTCCTCTGTCCAGGATATCGACGCAGGCAGATGGGCCCTACTCACCACATAGTGCCGGTTGGCAGCGCGATCCACAAGCTCGATCAATTTCCGCCGTCCGCTCGAAACCAGCATGTCAAAGCTCTTCCCAAAGCACAGCTCCCCCATCACATCATAAGTCAGATAGCTAAAGAAATCCCCCAGGTTGAATACTGCCTTCGCGCTCTTCTCGCCCTTTCCCTCGCCGAGCCCACCAGTCAGAGCTGCACAGAGCTGCCGCACATGCAGCAGCATCACATCCTCCATGCTCTTCAGCGCCTGATCTGAGAAAGCCTGGCTGAGCACGCGCCTCTTGCGCCCGTGCATCGTCTTGTCGATTGCATTGTGCGTGTTGTACACGCCCTTGATGGCGGGGAAGGCATTGTAGAAATTGGCCTTGCGGAGCCGCTTGCCATGGCCGTAGATGTCGTGCAGGCCACGCTCCGTGTTGATGGAGACGAAGTTGGGTGCTACCCGTACATGTGATCCGTATTTCTCATGCAGACGGTGAAGCCATAGGTGTCTGTCGCCGTTCAGGCCGTGGTAGAGTTGTACCCAGGGGGTTATGGAAGCGAGGAAGGGTCCAGGTATAGAGCGCAAGGGGTGGAAGAATCGATTATAGACGACATATGCTACTGACTGCACGCGAGTAAGTTGTCAGCACTGGTCCACTGTCACCAATAAACAACCATAATCATCGTGACATGAGCATAAGCAAACCCATAAGCATAGCTCTGGACGCTCCACCTTCCGCAAACAACCAAAAGGTAAATGAACTTACCAACCCCCCAAGAAGAAACAAAAGCCCCTGCACCGCCCCCCAGACTGACAAATTCTCCAATAATGAGTGAACAAGCATGATTTCAAACCAGCAGAATGAAACAATGATGATGCCGACGACTGCAGCAACCGATGCTAGCCGAGCTCAACCGAGGCAGGCCTCACTCTTCGCAGTACGGAGTGCTCCAATAGTTTTCCCACTTTCCCCGCAGAGATAAGAATTAGAAGTAGTGATGAGATGGGGAATCGACCAAGGTAGAGATAGTAATCCGCTAAATGCGTGTGGTCTCTCTTTCGAGATGTCCAGTCAAAGGGTTCTTTATATCTTGTGCTGGCTCGGTTAGATGCGGGCGTCAAGTTGGATGGGTGATACTTCCGTTGTGGATGCTGATTGCTTTTGACGGCCATGCGGTCATCGTTCGCTGACTTGCTAATGATAAGAGTAAGTGGCATGAGATTATACCAAAGGGTGTGTAAGATGTTTCTAGCATGGGGATGTGTAAAGATTATGTGTTCTTTTGTTGACTGCTGTTTATACAGTACGTCTCAGCCAGCGACGCCTGCAGACTAAGCTTGGGCACTACAATGTAGGTAGTCTAGTTTATAGTTAGGTGTTGAGGAATATGGATGCATTCACATTCACAGTGTGAGACTATGCCTTCTATTCATCTGTCAGCCTGTTGCTGACAGCTATCTCAGTCACCATGGATTGTTCACAATCTCTCCTACCTGAAGTAGCTTGGCTTGTCTCCTTTATGATTCAGGAGACCGTACCCACTACTCAATACTGAAGACAGCCGCTGATATCCGACCTCAGCTGGATTATAGAAGACCTCCACCACCCATTGAAGTGGACCGCGGAGAAAATGCGGGTATTTGGCAATAATAGGCGCGGGAGAATTTGCGCAATACTACTGCATCAGTATACCGCTACGTAGTGATCGCGCGGCCGATGTCGCACTTCATATTGGGGGTAACCAATTCGCCGCTATCGGTTGAGGATTGGCGAGTTAGTGAATCGAGGATGTGTGCGCAGTATGTGCAGACAGTTCGAGGCGTGCCCATTTTCTGCCGTGTAGACGAGGACTTCGTTTCTGCATGGGTTGACAGGTGATATCCATAAGCTAAGTGGTATAGCCGTGCAAGCCACCGTCGAGAATCCATTTCTCATTGTCATCGTTGTCGTCCTGGACACGCCGCCATGTCTGCTTGCGTTCTCTTGAACCCATCCCCTCTGCCTGCTTATCTTCCGCAGCCTTCCAAACAGGTCGTAGCAGCCCGCCAGCCGCAAGTAGTGGATTCCGACTGAAAGCTTCGCCGCTTGGTTTCGACTCTTCATGAGAAACGTCCTCGACGTCCTCAACTTTCTCCTGTGCGGCCGAGCTCGACTCCGCAGGCGCGGCAGATTGATACACTCGAGTCACGCGACCGCCCTTGATATCCAAACTCATGATAGTCTTCTTCTTCTCCCACTCCGGCCGCGCCTGTTCCTCTATCTCCCGGAGTATCCGCTGTTGTTTCTTCAGCGCCAACGCCCGCTGGGCCGGGCTCATCCATAGCGTAGACGCAATATTTGGCGTTTCGAAATCCGCGGCCTCGTCCACGACCCGCGTACGTTTGGCGTTCTGCGCCTGGAACTGAAGCAGCTTATCGCGGTGCGCCTTGGCGGCGTCAAGCTTGCTGCTTCCCACGGGAGTCGGGCCTGGCCCACCCTCCCGGTGAACACTTTCATTGTGAGCCCGCATCTTCTCCTGTCCACGCTCCGCGCGCAGCTCTCGGATCATACTCTGCACTTCTTCGTTTGATAGGAGCGGCGTCCCGCAGAATGAGCATGGCTGGAGTCCTTCGAGGGAGCAGATGATCTTGCCGCAGTTCAGGCAGTTCGGGACCGGTTCGAAGAGCGGGTGGATTGTAGCGTAGCAATTGCATTTGCGCTGGCCACTGCTTAGGGTCGGATTCGTAGAGACTTCGAGAGCGGCAATCGCAGCCGTCAGGTCGGAGATGTTGTTCGTTGTAAGCGATCCTTTGGACGAGCCTCCAGTGGCTGAGCTTCCGCCTCCGTGTTGTCGAGAAGATGATTTGGCAGCTTTCGACTTGACGTTGGGTAGGAGATCCGAGAGCACCGGTCCCGATGCGGACGGTGGGTTCTTAGGGGTACCCGACGACCTCGGTGCGGGAGACTGGGTACGCGACGACGCGGCGGACGACTCAAGCGATGACAAAGCGTTCTGCTGCTGCGGAACCTGTAGCGCAGTCGCTGAACCCTTTGGCCGTAAGGCACCTGTTTCCTGTCTCGCCTGCCGAGCCGGTGCGGCTGACATGTAATCCTCATCCTGATCCCCCTTCCTATAACCTCCCGCCACATTCCCGAAATTCTCAGGCCTGCGTACTGGCCCCGCGCTGTGGAGAGGCGCTTTGGGCTTTTTGCCCCTCTTGGCTCCGGCTCTTGTCCCAGAACTCACATTGTCGGCGGTATATGCGTCGGCCGCTGCGGATTGGTCTTCCCCGCCTCGAGCTGGCGATGGTGCGGTGGATTGGGATTGTTGGGAGTCTCGTCGGGCGCTGAAGGAGGCGATGAACTCGAATGCTGCGGGGGCGTCGCCAAGGAGGTTCTTGAGATGCTCGGCACCTTCTTCCCTTGGAAGGCCGGCAGAGTAAGTGATAATCTGCGTCAAAGACTCCTCGTCCAGTGGTAAAAGCTGGGCCAGGCGAGGAACTGCCCACGCGACGAGGTTTGAGTTACTCATGCTCTGTGCGTGGACTCAGTGGATAAGCTCAGAAAGAGGTTTATTGAAATGAATTAAGTGACCCGTGTACCTTCATGCCAATAATACTGATCGTCAAAAATGAGGTGAGGTATGACGAGACTCGATGAGCACATCGTCAGTGGGTTTTTGCGGGCCCGCACATCTTG